AGTGTCTGACCTCACAGGGTCTGTGTGAGCCCTGCGTTCTTCTTTTGGTTTTTCTTCATTTGTGCAGATTTTCCCTCCCTACTTTTCCCTTCCTTCCACTTCCCCATCTTCTTTAATTCTGTTATTCAGGGGTTTCTTTTACTTCTGTTTGTTCAGTCTCCTATTCTTCCTAATATATTTCCTTTTACTTTGTTCAGTTCTGGAGTTGGACTGTGGGTTTAGGGCAGATATTTTTGTAGTTTTGGGATTTAATTAAGGGGGGAGCTGTGATTAAAAATATCTCTGCAGATTCTGGTGTTTGCCAATAGCCGTATGGATAGTCTGAAACCCACTTCCCACTGCCTTGGTGTCTGTCTATGCAGTGGGGTAGTAGGTTTACTCCCTTGGTTCCCTAGCAGGTGGTGCTATCCCGCGTTACAGTCCAGAGGGGAGGGATCCTGCTGGGATCCGCAGCGTGCTGCGGCAACTTTACCGAGGGAGTTCCACAGGCCTTTTTCCGGGCTAGGGGCGTGGTGTGGCACCGGGGATCTCAGAAGATCCTGCTTTGTGGGGCTTCACACTCTGAAGTCATGGGTTTCTTCAGGTATGAGCTGGGAATAACCACAGCGGTGGTATCCGCGACTGCAGGAGCAGCCTAGTCCCGCGTGGCGACTGCAGGAGCGGTCCAGTTCATCACGATATCTGATTAGCGACTGAGGGTGACAGTGGCGGCTGAGCTCCCTGTGAAGAGCAGGCGGTGGAAGATGGGGGCTGCAGCCCCTGGGAAAGAGCTAGGGTCTTTATGGGTGTTCTCTGTCGGAGAGGGTTTCACAGACCCTGCCAGCCTGTCACCATCTTGCCGGAAGTCCTTATTTCCATTTTTAAATGCTCTTGTTAAATGCAAGTGATTGTGTGCATATGCACACGTCCATGAGAGAGGGTTAGAAATATATTGGAAGAAACCAATATTGTGTCTTCATTTCAAAGTATGTGCTTATGGGGGGGTTCCATGGTAGGAATTACTTGTCAAAAGTAATGCATGCATATTTTAAGATTCTTGGCACATACTGTCAAATCTCTTTTCAGAATATCTAATCCATTGATAAAATGCTGTGTTTATCTTGCTATACTCTTTAGTGATGAATATTATACATTTTAGATCTTTGGTACATTGCTTTTGACATATTACTGTTTTAATACATATTTCCTTGATTGTTAACCTGGTCTGTGTATTGGCCATTGGCCGATTCTTCTTTGAATTATCTTTTCATGACTAATGAACATATTTCTGTGCAGGACTTATTTTGCAGGTTTTATTGTTGTATAATGCTTAGGATATTATCTTTTCTAGTCATATTTGTGGTGTATGTTATTTACTTTTCAGTTTTGTTTAAAACGTTATATGAGTACATATATTTTTTTTCAGTCAGATGCATTGATCCTATTACTTGTGAAGACTCTCTGGTTCTTATCAGTAGACCAGGCTCAAATATGACTGTCTGCATTTTGTGGTTATTAAATTGCAATTTTGAGAGAATTGATTTTATTAGTTCTAGGACTTGGTTTCTCAGTTCTTTTTTTGAGTTGGAGTCTCACTCCATCACCCAGACTGGAGTGTAGTGGCCTCTTCCAGCCACCACAGCCTCAACCTGCTGGGCTCCGACGATCCTTCCACCTCAGCCTTCCAAGTAGCTGGAACTACAGGCATGCGCTACCACGCCTGGCTAATTTTTGATTTGTTATAGAGATGAGGTCTCACCAAGTTGCCCAGGCGGGTCTCGAACCCGCAGACTCAGGCAATCCACTCACCTCAGCCTCCCAAAGCACAGGATTACAGGCTGAGCCACCGAGACCAGTGGTTTCTGTGTTATTGAACTGCCTTGATTCATTTTATAGCAAATAGAAATGTTTCTTTATATGGCTTTGAAGTACCTTTGAAATTTATGGTTGGGGAATGGGCAGTTAGAATAATTCGTTTGTTTTTAGTTAGAACTCATCAAAATAACTTTTCAGATTTTCGGAATGTAAATGAATGTTTTCTTGGAATTCTTATCCAGAAATGTGAAATGGTTGTTTGATAACACTTAAAATCACAAAGCCAACCAGCATTTGTGTTGAAAATATTATTTGATGCTTTACTCAATGTACAAAGTTTAGATAAGCATCAGAGAGGAACGTTGTTGCAGTGATGCTATTAAATGTCAAACATCTACTGAGCTAGATGATATATTTTAAGATTCACCGTTTGACAAGTTGACTCAGGAGTTCTCACTAGTTCACAAGGAGACAGCTAAACTTATGGGATTTCTTCTCACTTGAGAAAAAAATTAGAAGTTTGAAAATGTTCATAGTTAATAACAGAATTATACTGATATTGTAGGTGCATTGTTGCATTTTGGATTTCTTTCTTGCTGAAATACCCATTGTTGTTTACATGCAAATAGTTACAGAGATTTTGTATCATATTTAGAGCTTGATTATTAGGTAAAATAAATCCATGTTAAATAAAAATTAGAATAAAGTTAAGCTTTTCTCTTTACCTAAACTGAATTTAGCAAGACACAATTTTGATTAAGCTTACATAATATAGAGACTTGATCTTTTTTAAGGAAATTACCTGAGCTATGTGATTTTGTTTAGACAAATATACCCAGCAATAGAATGCTTGTGAGTTAAAGATGATGTAAGATGAATGAAAATGCTATATAGCATGTTAGGAGCATCAGAGCAAGTGTCAGAATTCTTCCAAAAGAAAATTACAAAACCTGGAGGTCAGGGCTGCTGTGATGCTGTGGAAAATAAAAACAATAGATAAAGATGTCAAAAAGCAAGAGATGAGGATTACTAGCACAAGTGTCAGTAAGAAAGCAGTAGTTACAGCAAGTTCAGAAGATGTTAGAAATAAGTGTAGCAAGGTGCTGGTAGCTTTCTCTTCTTACAGGAGCATTTCAAGAAGAGAAAACAAGGAAAGAATTTTTTTCTTTTTAAATTAGGGGCAACAATTATCAGAAATGTAAACAGTTATATCCCTTCTCTTCTCCCACCCTCTCCAAAACCCCAGAGGAATGAGCGGAGTAAATCAAGACTAGCCCTCTCATAGTCTGAAATCAAAATTAAATAGTTTTATTTTGGTATAGATTTACTAAAAAGACAGTTACTTTGGTTTATGTTTAAAATCAAATTTTATATCTAGTGATAAGTCTCTAAAACCATTATGTATCCACTAAATGCCAGGCATTGTGCCAGTGGCTAAAGATGCTGAAATATTGCCTTGCTTTTCTGTGGAAAGGTTGGAGTTTAGCAACTAAAACATTCACACAGATACACTATATGGGTGATTAAGAAGGGATACCTGTGACACACTAAAAATAAGTGGGAGACCACAGAGCGTCAATGGGGTGTCATATGGAGTCTACCTTTGGGGTAGGAGCTGGGGTAGCCAAAGAACAGGAAATAATTTATTACAAACAAGGAGATGTGATTCTCACCCCCCTCCCCTTAGAGTGTCTTGAGTGTAGAAAATGCCCGATAAAGTTGCAGGGGGAAAATACAGAAATACAGGCTAGCTCTTGAAGACTTTTTCGTTTTGAAAACTAAGAGTTGTAAGACAGTGATCTAGAATTGATGTCATTAGTTTTGCATTATACAAAGTTCATTCTAGCAGTAATGAAGAGGAAGGATTAGGGGCACCGAGAACTGGGAAAGGAATTGTATGGGAGACATTTTAGTGACCTCATGGAACAACATGAACATCGAAAAGAAGGCAATGTTGGGAAGAAAAGAAGACAGGGTGAATATGTTTGGAGAGTAAAGTCAACAGAATTTTGGAGCCAAAATAATGTGATTGGTGAGAGAGATTGATCTACAGTTAATTAATCCCAACTTTCTGGTGGGAGAGTTGAGGTGCAAGGAGAGCTTGATATGGAAAATATAAAGGCTTGAGGTGCTTATTGCACATTAAGATGAAGGTTTCCAAATATAACCGTTCGTTGGTAATATGGTGCATGCTGTAGTTATTAATATTACATTTGGTGAGTGCTCTACTAGGTGCTAGGTGCTATTATCTTCATTTTGCCATTGATGAATCTAAGGTAAAAATAAGGTTGATAACTTGTCTAAAGTTACAAAAGTAGTAAGTGGCAAAGCTAAAATTTGAGTTCGGGAAGTCAGGTTGCAGTTCCTACTCTTAGCCCCTCTGTCCTTTTGCTTTTCAGTCACATGAGGAGCTGATTTGTGAAAGTTGTAACCTGCAGATAAGGATTTGGGAGTTTCTAATTTACATGGGACGAGGGAGACTAAGCCACTGGGCTGAGTGACATGTCCCTGGAGAGTCTATAGAGTTTGTGTGCACTCTGAGGTTACACCATTGTTATTCAAAAAGAAGAAGTGAGCTTGAAAAGGAGATTGAGTGACCAGAAAGATAGGCAGATAAAACACAAGGAATTGTGCTATAAAATTCAAATTGAATGCTAATATTTTTTCCTTTCTAAGAATTATCAGGGTAGGGGGACACAACGTCAATAAGTGTTCCTGATCTCAAACCAGGCAAAGTGGGGACCAAAGGGAGGCCCAAGCTTTACCTGTACAATGACCACTTGTATACCTAATCCTGAATGGTACTCCACATCTTTAAAATTTAAGAAAAGAAGACAAACCAAAAGAAAAACAGGAAGAAATGTCATGAACAACTCCAAAATCTTGAAAACTAGAGTCTGAAATATCCATTAGAAATCACTGGTGATAGCTATGATAATTTTAGTTCAGTTATTTAGAACAGAATAAACAGGGTTGAGGAATGAAAAGCACTGAGAGTGTGACTTCAGCGAACTCCCTCTATTCCATGGTTAAATGTGACTGAAGAAGAGATGAGTGGAAGCTTGTGGTAGGTGGAGGTAAAGGAATGTTTTTTTTTCTCATGTTGGATGTGATACAATCACGTCTGTGGATTTAAGGGTAATCTACTTTGAAGGAAGATTTTTTAAAGCTAAATTATAATTAGAAATGCTGTTTAAACTTTACAGAACGTTGTACATCCATGGGCATACCAAGTTGGATTTCACAGTCTGGCATACTGCAATTGAGAAAGCAGCAGGTACAGATGGTAATGCTCTGCAGGATCAGCAGCTCAGCAAAAATGACGTGCCCATTATTGTGAACAGCTGCATAGCATTTGTTACACAGTATGGTATGTATCACTGAATTTGTATTCAACCTCTAGATTTCATAGTATCATTTTTACCATTTTTAAGTGGCGTCTCTGTTGCATTGAACTTAAGCCCATTTATATCTGCAAGTACACCAGTGAAAAATAAAAGCGGAGTCACCATTCAGCAAATTGTCATTTCTTCCCCCAATAAGACCCATTTAAATTATATATGACACTTTTACCACTCCCTTCTTCCTTTACATACATAAGAATGTTAAATAACATATTCAAAGAATCTATATTATAATATGTGCATTAAGAATAACAGATTAAAGACTATACATTTTCAGAGTTATAAAGCTAGACTAAAGCCTAGTATAGCACAGTATGCTTAAGCATGTATATAGACTTGATGAACTATGGAACAATAGGTAAAAGAACTTGCTTTCTGTTGGCATACATAAAGTATATGTGTATCTATTTAACGCAACATGCTGTTGGTCAAATGTTTACATTAAGACACACATTTATTAATTTTAATGGTTTTTGCTTATTTGCAGCAGATATTTTTATGAATACTATGCAAATAAAAATAAGTTGATCTATACCTATATGGTCTCCCTTTATTTTAATTTTTTATGCTATAGTAGTAATTTAAATGTGCCTGAAAAGTAATCTTTATTCCTTATGTTATTTTTCAAATTATTTTGAACTCTTCAAATTCCTTCCTAGTTATATGTCATCTTCATATTCTAAAATTTCTTGGGTGAATTTTCAATGTAAAAATACTTTCCATCTTTTTATTTTTATTTATTTATTTATTTATTTTGAGCCAAGATCTCAATCTGTTGCCTCAGCTGGAGTGCAGTGGTGTGATTATAGCTCACTGTGGCCTCGCATTCCTGGGCTCAAGAGATCCTCTTGCCTCAGGCCTCAGAATAACAGAGACTGCAGGCGCACATCACCATGCCTGACTAACTTTTTAAAATTTTTTTGGTAGAGACAGGGTCTCACTAAGTTGCCCAGGCTAGTCTAAACTCCTGGCCTCAAGTGAACCTTCCACTTCAGCTTCCCAAAGTTTTGGAATGACAGACATGAACCACTGTACTCATCCCACCTTTTAACATGTTGATAAATGTCATTGATTTAGATTATAAATGTAGAAAAGAGAAAAATGGCTGATTTGATTTTTAACTTTTTTTGTTATCCTAATATTAGAAGTATCTTTGGGTGCTTTTAATTTGAAATGAAGGTATAGTGAGAGGGTTACAGTAAAGCATTGTGTTAGTTGATTGCTTATTTATTGAGTGCCTATTGTATGCAAGCCACTGGTCTCAATATAAGAAACATGGAAATGGAAGTAGGAAGTTCAAGACAAAACCATGAATCATATATTCTAGTGTGAAAAACTGACAGTACACTGTTAGATA